TTTATAGTGCATCAGTACAGTTTCAAATTGTTTATCGTGATTTCTCGAGACTTTACTTATGCATGTATCTTTTAAAGTAACGTACTCTTAAAGATACTTGCAAAAGTAAGGGTAAAACTACACACCGTCACTATTTCGAGCATTATAAAGTACATGCAAGCAACTAACTTACATCAGTCAATTTTATATTATTAATCGGTGTTTTTTACAAGTAAAGACGGTTAAGGGGAAATATAACCTCAAGTGGCTTAGCAAGATCCTCCGTTATGCCGAAAATATTGCAGCATTAATTTTGAAATAAATATATGGTAAAATTGAGGATTAATGTTAAGGACTATGTTAGATGAAAACACGATTCCGTAAAATTTTCTCGATAGAAAAAAATCCAAAGTTACCTCCAAATTAAACAATAAACTGCTGTTATTCATAAAATACTATAAATAAGATCATGAAACTTTGCATACTAACTGAACTAATTATAAAGCAGTGCTTATGTTATTTACTTTTTTTTAAAATACCATTATTTTCACCGTAAAAAGAAATTACCTAAACTATCGGCGTTTTGAAGCTTGATTCCTGCGGCCCAGTCAGTTTCGCTTCGCCCTTTGAAGGGGGAGGTTGTGTCGCTTACGATCGGAATACACATTACGCAACAGGACGACGTAAAATTAAAATGGGAAATAAACGTAATAAAAATAAGAAGCGACTGGGTTGGCGTTAAGAAACAGGCATGATAAACCTAATGAAATAAGTATCCAACGACCTATCTACTTACAGTATTAGTGATTACAAACATGTCGGTACATAGCATATGACGCGCGGGGAAGTGGGGGGCGAAATTAGAATTTGAGCTGACTTACTATATCCCCTTAAAGGTTATTGCCAAGAAGCTGTCTTGTGTCATATATGGTATTGTTGCTGTTGGTTTTTATGGTTCATTAATTTCTGTGTTATCTTGTGTTGTGTTACTTCTAACTGCTTACTGTGTTTCATTGCCATTTCATATCATACATTAGAGCCTATAAAAACCCACTGTCGAACATAGGCCCCTCCCATAGACATACATAGACATGAGAAACACAGGGGGGATCCTGCCATAGTTGCCACGTTTGGTAGATGGGATAGCAACGGCAGTTGTTTATTACTTTGTGTTACTACCAGGAGGACGCTGCTGCATATGTTCTATTTTAGTATCCCTCTGTCGCCTCTTAGGAAACAATATGTGCTAGTGAATATTCTTACACCTGCGCTATACGATCTTATATGTAGGTTTCACAACATAAAGTCATTACTGTGAAATGTTATTTTTATTTAAACAATAAAGGTGTAAAGTTAAAGTCTATGTATATAATTAATATAAATAATGCTAAGAGTAATTTATTACATTATAAATACTTTTATTTACACCTTGGTTACATTTTTTCATCTTTCTTCTCTATTTATTCTATCTTTATTCTTCTCACATTTATTGAACGTAAATACTTCCTAAGCTGCAAATACGTAGCATCTTGTATACGAAAATCAACAAACCAAGGTCATGTGAGGTTATTATTAGAAGTTCAAGTTAGAAGTTAATTGGGTAGTCGCTCGGCGGCTAGATTTGCATATCAATGGACATTGGTTCGGAAATAGCTACCGGTGTTGATGCCAAAACTTCGGGATTTGCTTCACGGTTCGCAGTTCAGTTGCACTCGCTTCTACACTCACATCTTGATAATGCTGCTCTTTTATATTTGTTAACTTCGATTTTTCAAAACAGATATATATATATATATATATATATATATATATATAAAAATATATATATGACCGCATTATGACTGTACTTTCATGACTGCAATCTTTATAGTTTATCAAAAGTCCACTGCTGAACATAGGCCACACCATGGATTGCCACATAGAAAACACATTTTAATGGCTCTATGGCACAGTGGCTTTGCAATGAGTTGCAGCGCTGAGAGCCGCGGGTTCGAATCCCATACGGAACAAGTATTTGTATCGCTTACAAATAATTTGTTCCGGGTCGTTTTCCTTGTCCTTGTGAAAGGAGATGTACATTTCTGGGCCCAATTTGTGATAAGTTGAAATATGGTGTAAACAAAGCGTTATATTTTTCTATTTTAAAATATAAAAAATAGCCCCATTCACAATCTCAAAGACGAGAAATCTTAAAAATAAGGTTACGTCACAGAGTGTCATAGTAATTATATAAATTACAAATAATACAGTATAATCAGTTTAAAAAAAAATATCAACACAATAAAAATAAATCTTAAAATAGATTATCGTTTACAGTTCGATTTAGTACTTATGCCTGCTTATAGTAATTTTAATCTGTGCTGATACTGACAGCTCCTGCCTGACTCAATCTATGGTCACTCGCATCGTATCGTTTCAGTACGTGTGCGTTTTGAGTGTGTTTCTGTGTTTCCCGTTGTTTTATTGATTTATATTCCGCGACTACTGCTTTTTTACGGACTTCTAATCTTACTTAATTTGTGCGACCCTTGCCTTGCTATTATACCGGACATCGATGATCCAGTTTACCCGTTTGACTTTGGCTTGGTATTGTGGATTTTATCGATTGGATATTGACACAATGGATCGTTGTGTGAATTTTAATTATAATACAAGATGAATACAAATTCAAGACGAAGATAATTAAAAAGTGTTTTTTCCAAACATTGCCTAACCTTACGCTATCTTTCAATCTGTTTGTGAGTTTTCTGTTATCCTCCCACTCAATACAGTGCAATAAATACTACAATTAATACACTAAGCAACTGTCTAATAAAAAAATAACAATCGAACTTCAATCAGGTGTTTAGTTTAGGTTGTTGCCAACTTGTTGCGTAATCACACTACTAAATCTCATATAACTTTTGCTTTTAGGTTATCAAAATCCGCCGAATTTTCAGTGATGTTTTGATAATATTGTGTGTTGTTGCTATTGATTGACGCCACTTTCATCTTTTTACAATCTAGGCCCAAGAATGTATGAAAGCGTATCAGTCACCTTTATGCACGTAAACTATTCCCACGATACAGGTAAATATCTTAGTGTAGAGGTAACGTTTATTATTTTTAAAACTCGAATAATGTTCAATATTTGCTATAATTGCCACGCTTAGCAGGCGGGCTGGCAAACGTAGTTTTATTTTTACTTTCAGTTGTTGGCTTCCAATAGATGGCGGCATCACATTCTCTTTCCCTTACATCGGAGGTAAAATACCCAGATCATTCTATAACTTTACCTGGCATGGCCCTTGAACTCATGTTCCTGTGCAAACGTCGTCTACATTTTTTTTACATTCACATCATCATCTTCATCATTATTACAGCCCTTCACAAGTCCATTGCTGAACATAGACCTCCCCCAAGGAATGTCATAAAATATGGACCAGCATCCATAGACGTTCTTATTACGTATTAGCTGGTTGACACTACATCTAGTGAGCGGCGGGTATATTTATTTAGAACAAATTGTCGGACTGTTAAGTCTTACTTCAACCGAGAGATCGACACATCTTCTATTCACGTATATTTCGATCTTGGAAACAAGACATGGTGGTTAACACGTGCGTGTTGTCAGTGATGACATATGGATCCGATAACCTAAGCAAGCATATCCACAGTTAAACTAGAATAAAAAGCACAGCTCATCGGATCAATCAGCTCAAGTGTTGGTCTCTCTTCATTTACAGTGACACTGACTACAAGACCTTAGTCAAAAAAGAAAATTTCAACGGTTATACAAGAGTATCCTGAAAAGAATATCATCCCGTGGGTGCCAACAGGTGACACAGTGAACTAGAACAGGAGAAAGAGAGAGGAGTAGCGTCTTCCTGACAACAACTTAAAATAATAAAAAACTGCGGTTTGCGATCCGCTGGCCAAGCGTGGCAACTGTGGTACAATACAAATACAACTATGGGCAATAAATAAATATGAATATGAATCCCCCTATATGGCAATCTATGTGTGAGACCTATGTTCAGCGTGAACTTTTATAGGCTGTGATGGTAATGGTAAGAGTGACTTGAAAATTCAACCCTTAAACTGACACGGATAAATATTTTGACGTTATTTCACTATCGGCGCAACTTTTGACTTCCATTATAAAACAAAACTGTGAACTTATAATTGAAGTGGCAATGAGCTAACCATATAGTTCGAAAGACGGACAGTCGATGGGAAAAAGGCTCTTAAATGGCAAGTGCGTACCGTCGATCTATATAAGTAATTGATTGGTTTTGAAACAAATTAAATGTTTAATTTTTTTCATTTCATGTATATCATTAGTTAGATTTTACTTGTTTTTCCAATCGACAAGTATGAAAGGGTCTTCGTGCTTGCAATTCAGGTACGAGGCGAACTGTTACAACTGAAATTCAATTAAGCGACTACCGAATGGAACAATTCATCGTTTTATTTTATTAATTATAGGAATCCATGCATAAAATTTCACCCACATATTCCCTATTGAAATTAGTATGTTTTTTATTTTTTCTTTAACCTGAAAAATAAGCACTTTAAATTTCACCTATTTGTCTCCCTGGTGCCGGAAGGATCGAACTCGAGTAGCTCACATGCTATAAAATGTAAAGCTAGAATCTCTGAGCTATCCCGGTTCTTTAAATACTTTGAATTCGAAGTTATAAATAACTTTTCAAGAAAACATACGTAACTATAGGCTCGACCGGGGAAGGACCACGCTCTCGCAGAATACCAGAGTAAAATATCAGCTTAATATTGCTGTGTTTTGTATGGTGAGTGTAGGATCCGGACATCGTTTTTTACTGAAAACGAGGCATTCCATCTTAGTCCTCAGAGGTAACAACGCATCTGCGTTTTGATTCTTAATCAAGGATAAATGTAGATGTCTGTGGGCCAGAGCAACCACTTACTACTAGTGCACTTTGTGCTCGTTTGTCACGCATATTCTATAAAAAAATAATGAATTTAGGGGTATTAAAATGGATCGAAAGTATTTCACACATCTAGGTCGACTTGCTGTTGCAGTAGGTTTGAATTATTGTTCCAATTCTTTTGGCCTCAAGGCGCAGCTGCTCGCAGCGAGTTGAAAAATTTTCAGTCTATAAAATAATAATAGATACTATCGCAATTTTACACACTAACCTATATGAATTATTACTAGTACTACTTCTATGGTCGGATTTTATATCAATTGTCTGGAAATAACGCTTTTTTATAATTCTTCAAATGAAAACTACTGTAGGGGCATCGGACGTTTATGGATGGGTTAAGTCTTGTAAATTCGCGGCATCAGCATTTTGTAATAGCCAAAATTTTGATTCAAAAATTCTAACTTTCATTTTTTTAGTTTTTGTTATTTCATTTAGTAGACATAAATTAAAATAATACTAGCTCCACCATGTCAAGCAAGTTTTGCATGACAACAAGCTTCGAGTCCCGCTCCTACGTCACAGTGAACGAGTGAAGCCGGCCACAGTCGAGCGTGTACCTGCTGTACTGCCATATGTTAGAGGAGTCACTGACAAGATTGGCTACATCTTGAAGCGCGCTTCCATCAAAACATACTTCAAGCCGCTGAAGAAGATTGGTCAGTTTTTACCATCGGTCAAGTGTAATGTCCCTCTGCAAGATGCAGTAGTGTACAAGCTTGATTGTGAATGTGGTCTCTCCTACATAGGACAAACTAAAAGATCAATAAAAACCCGCGTTAAAGAACATATAGCTGATGTGAAGAATCGACGCTCCGGGAAGTCTGCAGTCTGTGAACACGTACAGGATCGCCCCCGTCACTACATCAGATTTGATAGACCGCAGATCCTCGCTAAAGAACACCGATTCCTTCCAAGGATGATTCGCGAGGCTATTGAAATCAAAAAACATCCTAATTTCAATAGAGAAGATGGCTGGGTGCTACCATCTGCTTGGGATCCTATAATAAATAAAATTAAATCCCAACCCAAGCATACAACTGCAAGACTTCAAGATACCATAAGTTCATACTGCATAGATCGGAACAAAAGTTAAATTTTAATCTATGGCAATCGCGGTTAACTATGACATATGGACGTTGAACATCTCAGTCCTGCCCGTAACCATGAGTGCTGTAAAGCGTTCGAAACGTCGGGTATTTAAAAAGTTAAATATACTCGATAAATTCCGTAAAAGCTAGTATTATTTCAATGTGTAGTGTTCGCGTAAATATAAGAAATCAGTAGACATAAATTAATTTTATAGGAACTAATTAATACTTAAACAGATAATAGTGTCATCTATGGAAACTCATTTAAATTAAGGATGTTTTTAAGTTTAATTTAAAATCTATAAAGTTTTAATAGGTATTCGTTTTTCATCTTTATATAAACAAACTAATAAAAATTACAATTCTTGCAAAATTCTTACTATCCTCATAGAACAAAGATATTTTTATATTACATGTGTTGGTCACATCTTAGAATATAACATAATATTACTAGCTTGCCAGGCGGACTTTATTATTATTATTGTGGGGTATCTATATAGTTTTCTCATCTGGTTGGGTTCTATAAATATATAATTATAAATGAGAATGAAAAGATAAATATACATAAATATCAATAACATAAAATAAATATAAAAATACTTAAATAAATAAAAGCCCAACCAGATGGAGGCCCTCGGCAGGGGAGACCAAACGGCCGAGGGTTAGGGGGAAAGGGAAAGAAACCGGCGGACGATGCGGGCGGTATCGAGGAGCACCGCCTTCTGAATTTGAGCCCGGAGCGGTCCGCCACGTAGTCCCAGTCGCCTCAGATGACCCGAGAGGCTGACTGGGATTAGCCCGTTTGCAGAGACGACTACAGGAATAATTTCGGTCGGCAGACCACCCCACATGTCGGTCACCTCGTGAGCCAGGTCCAGATATTTTGTTTGCTTGTCTGTTTCGGCTTTCACGAGGTTCTCGTGATACGGAATGGTAATGTCGACCAAAAATATCCTTGACTTATTATTATTATTATTATGTGTGGGGTATCTATATAGTTTTCTCATCTGGTTGGGATGTATAAATATATAATTATAAACGAAAATGAAAGGATAAATATACATAAATATCAATAAAATAAAATAAATACAAAAAATACATAAATAAATAAAAGCCCAACCAGATGGAAGCCCTCGGCAGGGGAGACCAAACGGCCAAGGGTTAGGAAGAAAGGGAAAGAAACCGGCGGACGATGCGGGCAGTATCAAGGAGCACCGCCTTCTGCATTTGAGCCCGGAGCGGTCCGTCACGGAGTCCCAGTCGCCTCAGATGACCAGAGAGGCTAACTGGGATTAGCCCATTCGCAGAGACGACTACAGGAATAATTTCGGCCGGCAGACCACCCCACATGTCCGTCACCTCGTGAGCCAGGTCCAGATATTTTGATTGCTTATCTGTTTCGGCTCTCACGAGGTTCTCGTCATACGGGACGGTAATATCGACCAAAAAATATCCTTGACTGTGCCCGGTCCATCAGCACAATATCAGGCTTATTCGCAAGAATAGTCCTGTCTGTGATGATGGCCCGGTCCCAGTAGAGTCTGGCGCGGTCATTTTCGAGCACGGCTTCCGGCAAGTACTTGTAATACGGCAATTTCCGGTCCACGAGACCGTATTTCAGAGCGAGCTCCTGGTGTAGAATTCTGGCTACTAGGTTGTGCCTGTGCAAGTACTCAGAGTTAGAAAGCGCCGAACAACCGGAGATGACATGCCTAAGTGACTCCCCGGGATGGCGACAAGCTCGACAGACGTCGACGGTGCCATCCTTTAGGATGTATCTCCGATAGTTGTTGGTCTTAATAACCTGATCCTGTATTGCACAGACAAAACCCTCGGTTTCCCCGAAGAGGTCACCGAAACGTAGCCAGTTGAGGGAGGCGACTGTATCTACGAAGGGCTCATGTAGAGCCTTGTAGTACCTCCCGTGGAGCTCCTTCTCCTTCCATACGGTCTCCCGGTCGGAATTGCTAAGCACTGCTGGGTCCTGCCATTGCTCGTTGGCTAAGGATAGAGGGGTAAGCCCTTTATCACTAGAAATGACGTCATTATAGAATGGATCATCCGATCTCGCCAAGAAGTACTGACGGAGACAGCACACTTCGCGATTATGCATGGTGAGCGCGCTCAGAAAGCCACGCCCACCATACTTCCGCGGCAAGTACAGCCTCATTACCGACGATCTCGGATGATGCATCCTATGGGACGTCATGGTAGTGCGGACTTTTCTATCCAGGGCGTTAAGCTCAGTCTGAGTCCACCTGAGTATGCCAAAGGTATACATGAGGACAGGCATGACCCAGCCGTTATATGCATGTGTTTTATTCACACCGGACAAAAGGCTGTTAAGCACTTTGGTCAAGCGTGCATAAAACACGTCGCAAACTGACTGTTTCATACCAGCCTCATCGATACCGATGTTCTGTGACATACCCAGGTATCGGTATGTTTCAGCCTCGGAAAGGGTCCTTAAGTTGACGGGCATAGACAAGTCTATGCCCTCAGAGTTAGCAACCCTTCCCCTTTCAACATGGAGGACCGCACACTTATCCGTCCCCAGCTCCATTCCAATGGAACTGCTAAATTCACAAGTGATGTTTAGCAGTTCCATAAGATGGGAGCGACTGGAAGCGAATAACTTGAGGTCATCCATATCAAAAAAGGTGGGTCACTTTTGTCCCTCCTTTCCGTAGCTGAAATCCCCTCCCGGAGCCCTCAAGTAAGGTACTGAGAGGGTTAAGAGAGAGGCAGAACCAGATTGGACTCAGACAATCGCCCTGGAAGATACCCCTTCTTATCCTTATGTGGTTCTCCGCAGCCGTCATCCGCTCGCCCAGATGACAAAGGATCGTACTCCACTGCCCCATACACTGCTCGAGGAAGTCTCTAACTGTACAGTCAATCTTGTACAGCTCGAGGACCCTCTTTAGCCATGTATGGGGCACCGAGTCGAACGCCTTTCTGTAGTCTATCCAGGCGGCAGAGAAGTTCCGACGGTTGCGTTTCACCACTTTGCCTATGACCGCGTCAATGAGGAGTGGTTCCTTAGTTCCACGACCACCGCCCCGACATCCATTTTGAGCGCGTGACATCACCTGGTTTAGCTCCAGGTGACGAGTGATTCTCGCGCTCAAAATGGATGTCAGTGTCTTATATATGGTGGGTAGACACGTGATGGGGCGGTATTTGCTCGGGTCTGTGGTATCCTGATCTTTAGGAACCAAGTGAGTGATCCCAGTAGTGAAGAGGCTCGGGAGTGACTTCTGGTCGAGAGCCTCTTGAAACTGTCGGGCGAGCACAGCGTGACACACTACGAACCCCTTCAGCCAGTAATGATGCAGCCCGTCGAGCCCCGGACTTTTCCAGTTCGGGGCCCTACGGACCGCCTCAGCCACGTCTTCTGGCGTTATGGTGATGGGGTCCATAGGCGTAACAGTCGCACCCTGGCTCGCCACAACTTCCATCCAAGGGCCCTCACTGTGGTTTACGGGCTCTGACCACAGGCCACGCCAGAATGCGATAATGTCAGCCTGATCCGGTCCTTGGCCCGCTCCACATACCTTTGGTCGCTCCAATAATTTATAGAGCCTCTTCTGATCACTCTGGAAGAGACGATTCTGGTTGAACCGCCTTGACCCCTCGGAAAATCGTCGAATCCGCTTCCCCCAAGCAGCGATCTTTTGCTTCAGGTCGTCTATGCGCTCCGTTAGTTTCTGCGTGATATCCGGCTGGGACAAACTGATATTTGTCCCAGCAAACGCCATCCTAACGGTGCGCATAATCCTCGGTCTATTATTACCCGACCTGAAGCTTGTCAGTCTGCCGATAAGGGCCCTTGCCTTTGCGATACGGTCCTCGATTCTTTTCCTCCAGGCTGGGATGGCGTTACTTTGTGTAGTAGCGCGTCCAGCCATGGGTAGTTTGGCGCCAATAATACGGCAAACTGCCACTGCGGCGCCAAAGAGAATCGAGTCCGTCTCGCAAAGGTCCCGGCTGGCTTCCAAATAGGTCACCAGCATTGGGTTAAGAGCCCTCACGACAGCCCGATTTCGCTTGCTTAAGGGTATGCGGGGGAAGTCGCGGTCGATTTTCGAGAGGGGTGCTGCGCGTTTCCAAAATCGCCTCTTCCAATATACTCCTCATTTGCTCTAGTTCGTGGGAGACTATTTCATCGTCGTTCGAATCAACCACAACTGGAAGATCCATGGCGGCTTCCACGTGTGGATGCTGGTCTGTCGAATGTGGAGCTGCATCTCCAGCCATAGCCGATTCATTCGACGACGGAATAGCCTCACGTCGTAGTCGTTCGAGTTCGGCATCATCAAATATTTTCGAGCGCATGATGTACCGAACTCGGTCTGCCAGGTTTTGTTCCGTGACGGGGATAGACGGCTCCAGCTCAGCAAAAAAGCAATGCATCCGAGACCTATACGCTATTCCCACAGTTTCTTTCCCTTTCGCCCTATAGTACGCCCGCAATGCGTTTTCGTTCATGGATTTTGTCCAACGCATGCGACGTGCTCCACCAGCGGCGGGTGCCGCTTGCTGGGTCCGAGAAGACCCAGCCGACACCAAGCCTTCTGGTGGGGATGATGGATGCGAGGGGCTGCTAGGTGATCGTGCAGCTCCTCGCGCTCGGCTGGCGGCCCGCATGCTGCCGCGTCCAGCGCCAGCTCCAGACGCGCCCCGGCGACCCCCAGGCAGCGGCCCTATGCGCGTTCCTTTTTGTATTTCTTCCATCATCCATTTTATGGGCGCCAAATAACGGGAGACGCCCAAGCCCGGCACCGTTTCGTGGTTGGGTCATATGCACAAACGGACCTTTGCATCTACAATTTTGCCTAGGCACGGCGCTCACACCTCTTGGCAGGATGCTGACTGACTGCGCCGACGTCGCAGTTTTGTCACATAACTGTTACGTCAGCGGGCGATGGGGTCGTCACTTCCCTACGCCTATTTATTATTATTATTATTATTATTGTTCTGCCCTTTATTTATTATTATTATTATTATTATTATTATTGTTCTGCCCTTTTCGACAACCCTTTGTCGTGTCCTATTAAAAATCCTTAAATTCGCAAAAAAAAAAATTGTGGGTCACTCATGGGCAAAAAAAATAAATAGTTGGACCAAACTGTACTGTGAGGCTCGAGAGGGTAAAGGGAGAAGCACACAGTCAGTGCAAATTTGATTAAAATCGGTTTAGGAGTCCATCGCGGACAAACAACGTGATACGTAATTTATATATATTAAGATGAATTAGTCGATTATTGCGTGAAATGGCCGTATTTCATAATTAATTAACATTTTTTTTAGAGAAAGAGGGTCGAGAGGGTAAAGGGAGAAGCACACAGTCCACCTGATGGTAAGTGGATGCTGTAGCCCATAGATTTATCCTCGATTAAGAATCGAAATTCAGATGCGTTGTCATCCCTGAGGACTAAGATGGAATGCCACGTTTCCAGTAAAAAAGGGTCTCCGTATCTCTACAATCGACATACGAAACACAGGAGTATTAAGCTGCTATTTTACGTTGGTATTCTGTGAGAGCGTGGTTTTTCCCCGGTTGAACCGACCCGTTCATGCTACAACCATGATACAACTGCAGCGTGGCTCTACCACGTAAAAACAGTATTTGTTGACTATATCAACTTTTCAACTATACTATTTACGCTACTATTTAGATGAAATGTTGTAATGAAGTGTTGTATGTAGACGAAATGAAAATGAAATAGTAGCTTAATGCTGCTGTATTTCGTATGGTGAGTGTAGAGAACCGGAGACCCTTTTCACTGGAAACGAGGCATTCCATCTCAGTCCTCACGGGTGACAACGCATCTGCATTTTGACTTTTAATGGAGGATAGATGTAGATGTCTATGGGCCGCAGCAACCACTTACCATCAGGTGGACTGTGTGCTCGTTTGTCACCCTATTCTATATAAAAAAAAAATCACGATATAGCTTGACCAAATGAATGAATAGATATTTTTGGCGATATTAACAACTAAACACAACATAGATATTTCCAGATATTATTGTTATGTCGTAAAATAATTTCATTACACACCGCTAGCAGCGCTGATTGCGTATATTTGATAGAAGCAGAATTTTTAATAGATTCTACATCACTTAATGTCTTTATATATTATATAATTGTTCGCGGCCTTATTGTGCGATTGAGTCAATCCACTCGTACCGCAACTAATTATGGATATCCATCCAGTACTGGTACAGTTTTGATTTTAACAAATTTTATCTCATTATAGCACCATCTTATAACTATTAAAAAAACTAATAATAAGTACATAACTTGTCAAATTAAACACAATCTATTATTTATTATATGACACAATTCCATTAAATACACATTGTTGCAGCATAAAAAATTGTCATTCTTAAAATACTTATATCGGTGGCCCCTGTCCGCATGATTTATCACAATAATTGTCGTTTTGGTAAAGCTACTAACAAAACGGTGTACACAAAACTGTGATTAAGAGAGAGGGTTTTTAGTTAAATATGTTGTGTGTCTATCGGCATAGCAAAATTTCACTAATTTCTTTTTGTATCATGTCCAATATACTCGTTTATACTTAATGGCACCCCTCGACCTGACTCGACCTGGCAACATATAACGCACGCACTCTGAGGACTGACGAGAAGATACTGGAGCTGGAAGAAGAGGTAGACAAGTTGCGCTGGCATATTATTGGATTATCCGAGGTCTGAAGAGAGGGGGAGGATACGGCAATCCTCGAGTCCGGCAACTTGTTCTACCACCGGGAGGGCGACCATCTGTCCCAAGGAGGTGTCGGATTTATCGTCCACAAGTCTCTCGTCAACAACGTTGTAAAGATTGGGAGTGTGTCGACGAGGGTCGCGTACCTGATACTCAGAATCACCAAACGGTATTCGCTGAAGGTCATAAAGGTTTACGCACCAACCTCGGCACATCCCGATGAGGAGGTGGAGGAAATGTATGAGGATATTTCCAGAGCCATGCATTCCTCCAAAACCCACTACACGGTGTTGATGGGAGAATTCAACGCAAAACTAGGCACAAGAGAATACGGTGAGCTGAAGGTGGGGAAATTTGGAGTAGGGCAACGGAACCGAAGGGGCCAGCAGCTGGCCGACTTTATGGAGAAAGAGGGACTCTTTATGATGAACTCTTTCTTCCAGAAGCGGCCCCACAGGAAGTGGACCTGGTCGAGCCCCGACGGTTTGACAAAAAATGAGATTGACTTCATTATGACGACCAGACGCCAACTGTTCAGTGATGTCTCAGTGATCACAAGGGTGAAAACTGGCAGCGATCACCGAATGGTTAGAGGCACACTGAACCTAAATGTTAAGTTGGAGAGGTCTCGTCTAATGAAGTCAACGTCAACGGGGGACGGACCTCCTCGTGCTCTAATCCAGAATCCCGAAACCTTTCAGCTCGAGTTACAAAACCGCTTTCAGTGCCTAGAGGATTGCAATGCAGTGGACGATATGAATGACAAGGTCGTCGAAACTGTCCATACGGTCGGAGCTAAGTTCTGCAAGACCCGCCGCAGAAGAACACAAAAACTCTCCGATCACACTCTTAATCTCATGGCTGTTAGAAGGGAGATGAGGCTGCAATCGTCAACAGATTTGACAGCATACAGGCAACTGAACAGGCAGATCTCCAGATGCATGCGGCGTGACTTACGCAACTTTAATACTGCTCGTATTAAAGAAGCGATCGAGCGAAACCAGGGCTCCAAAGTCTTTGCCAGAGATCTGTCTGCCAGAAAGAGCCAACTGTCAAGGCTGAAGACTGAGTGTGGCAACATCGTTTCCGGGACACCTGAGATTCTGAGTGAGATTGAGAGGTTCTATGGGCAGGACATATCATCGTTGGAGCCACACGCAAGTGTGAGTAACGATCCAAGAGCAAGACTTATCCGACACTATTCCGATGATATCCCGGACGTCAGTCTGAGCGAGATTAGAATGGCTCTCCACCACCTTAAAAGCGGCAAGGCCCCGGGCGGTCCTTCAGAAGCTCTTCAGAAGCTCTTCAATTCCGTCCTCCATAGTGGCACTACTCCGGAGGCGTGGAGCAGAAGCACGGTGGTCTTGTTATTTAAGAAAGGCGACAACGCTCTCTTGAAGAACTACAGACCGATTTCCCTTCTGAGCCGCGTCTACGTGCTGTTTTCAAGAGACGAATCGTCTCGCACGTAGATTCGACGACTTCCAGCCTCCCGAACAAGCCGGTTTCCGAAAAGGCTTCAGTACCATAGACCACATACATATCCTTCGGCAAATTGTACAGAAGTCAGAAAAGTACAATCTGCCACTTTGCCTGGCGTATGTGGACTATGAGAAAACCTTTGATTCCGTCGAAATTTGGGCGGTGCTACAGTCTCTTCAGCGGTGCCTAGTTGACTGTCGGTATATTGAAGTGCTGAAGTGTTTGTACAGTAGGGCTACGATGGCTATCCGAGTACAGAACCAGAGTACGAAACCTATCCAACTGCAGAGAGGTGTAAGACAGGGTGATGTTATATCCCCGAAACTCTTCACCGATGCGTTGGAAGACGTTTTCAAGCTACTGGACTGGAAAGGATATGGTATTAACATCAATGGCGAGTACATCACTCACCTTCGATTTGCCGACGATATAGTCTTTATGGCAGAATCGCTGGAGGACCTTAGCACTATGCTCAATGACCTCAATGGTGTCTCCCAACGGATAGGTCTTAAGATGAACATGGACAAAACAAAGATCATGTTTAATGTCCATGTCACACCTATGCCGGTAGTTGTTGGGAGCACTATGCTCGAAGTTGTCGACGAGTACGTTTACCTGGGACAAATAGTCCGACTAGGTAAGTCCAACTTCGACCGAGAGGTCAATCCACGGATTCAACTCGGCTGGGCAGCGTTCGGGAAATTACGACACATCTTCTCGTCAGGTATACCTCAATCTCTAAAAACTAAAGTGTATAACCAGTGCGTGTTGCCAGTGATGACTTACGGATCTGAGACATGGTCCTTCACCGCTGGCCGTATGAGGACGCTCAGGGTCGCTCAGCGAGCTATGGAGAGGGCTATGCTCGGAGTTTCACTGCGTGATAGACTCAGAAATGAGGATATCCGCAGTAAAACCAGAGTGACCGACACATCCCAACGGATTAGTAAGCTGAAGCGGCAATGGGCCGGCCATATAGCTCGAAGAACCGATAACCGATGGGGAAGAAAGGTTCTCGAGTGGCAGCCTCGTAGTGTAGGGCGACCCCCCACTAGATGGAGTGACGACCTGGCAAGACATCCAGGAAGTCGATGGATACAGGTGGCTCAGGATCGTGCTTTGTGGCATTACTTGGGGGAGGCCTATGTTCAGCAGTGGACTTGTGAAGGGCTGTAATGATGATGATGATGATACTTATATGGATGGAATAGTTTGGGATACTGTTGCCGCAGCCTTTTTTAATTTTAATGAGATTTTTAAAACCGTTTGTTATATTATATTAACATGGTTTCATATTTTCAGATATAACTGTTAATTTTTTTGTGACAGTAAATGAACAGGCTCTTGAGAAAAAGAAAAAGTGTACTATGTATATCAAGGAAACACAGGTTTATTTTTATTTTGTCTAAGCTGTTAATCGAACCGATCGAAACGTAAACTTCGTAGTAGGTACATAAGCAGCCCAAATTCGATCTGCGCCGATTTCATTCATATTTTAATTTCAATTTGAAGTT